TTTTTATTTTTGCATCTGTGTAAAGGAAGGGAAATTGTGGGCTTGGAAAGAAAGTCACCCTCGACTGAGAGACTGTGACGGAGATCACAATCCGAGGGAGAGAAGCCCAAGTCAAATGCCTCGTTTGGGTGCACTGAGTTGGAGCCTGGGCCTGGGCAGGAGTCCCCTACCCGTTGGGGCAGCTGGCAGAGCAGGAGCGGGTAGCTCACCCTCTACATGGGCTCGTTCATTCTCACTCATTCTCTCCAGATCCCTTTCGGGAGAGTGGGCTGCCAGCCTGAGTTGATAAGACCAGGAAGCCCATTGAAAAGGCTGAGATAAACCCATGCTCTTCCCTGATACTGGCCCCTACTGTCGGCTCAACACAGTCTGATGGTGACAGCATGTTACCCTCCTTTTAGGCACTTCACCCTTGGTGCTCTCCCAGGAAAACTAACGACTTGAGTAAGCAGGAGGAAAGTACTTGTCAAACCCTGGATCTTAAACTTGACGTTCAGCCGAGAGATTCTTCTTTGAAGGTGTAAATCTGGACGGGGTGATTTGCCCGCCTTTCATTCTGATCACCAGCTCTTCATGCGATGGCTTTCCCTTCCTCTTCTGTCTTGTCAGTCACTCTCAATCCATTTGCTTCTCTCGATGTTCCTGCTTTCAACATTTTCTGCTTTCAACTTTCCTTCCTTTCCAGTTTCTTTGGATCAGGTAATTACAGCCTAATTCTGAAAGACTGGAAAACAAAAAGGAGTCAGAGGAGAAACTCTTGATGTATGACCAAGGTTTCTGCAATGCACGGATGTACTTTTCTTTGGGTTCTCCTCCACTGCTGTTTCCTCCTAACCCACGAATTCTGTCCTTACTACACACGCATAATTTAAAATTTGTGTTTATCATTGAAGTGACTGACATAAAAGTTCCTCTATTAAAATGTTTGTGACCATAAATTCAACCAATTTTAGTATTCCACTGTACTGTTAAATAAAAGTCTGACACCTCTCTCTTTATGCATCAGAGATCTTCAGAAGAAGCAATATATAGGATATATCTGTGTAGGTATATGTATGTATAAACATACTTGTGTGTTAATATGTGGGAAATAGCAGGGCTGGAGTGATAGCACAGTGGGTAGGGCATTTGCCTTGCACGCTACTAACCCGGGTTTGATTCCTCCATCCCGCTTGGAGAGCCTGGCAAGCTACCAAGAGTATCCCGCCTGCACGGCATAGCTTGGCAAGCTCCCTGTGGCATATTCGATATGCCAAAAACAGTAATAAGTCTCACAACTTGTTGTGAGACATTACTGGTGCCCACTTGAACAAATTAATGAACAACGGGAGGACAGTGCTACAGTGCCAGGTCACACCCAGTGATGCTCAGCGGTTACTCCTGGCTCTGCACTCAGGAATTACTCCTGGCAGTGCTTGGGGGACCATATGGGATGCCGGGGATTGAACCCATGTTGGCTGAGTGCAAGGCAAATGCCCTATCCACTGTACTGTCACTCTGGCCCCAGGCCTATATTACTTTTATATGTGATCAAAAATGGAAAACTATCATAATTTCTGTAAGATTTAGCTATAAGGTTATTATTTACTGAGGTGTTTAAATTAGTGAAAAATTAGAATCTTCAATATCCAATAATAATAACTAGATTAAATGAATTATAAAATGAAAGATTTCTATCATTCAAATGATGCTCCAGGGTCTGGAGAGATAGTACAGAGGGCAAGGCACTTGCCTTGCATATGGCTGAACCTGGTTTGATCCTCAGCAGTATATACAGGCCCCTGAACACTTCTGGGATCTCTGGCATCACAGAACTTAAAGCCGCACTTCATGCTGGGACCCTTGCATTGAATTGCAGGCCTGGATAGCTGAAAATGGCAGGGTCCTCTACCCCCCCGGGCCTCATGAGCACTGTTTAAGGATTTCCCCCTCAAATTCTCTGAAAAAAAGGGGAAAAAAGATGCTCAGGACCAATATTTATTAATATTCATATATTTATAATGTATCAATTTGGAGGTGATGGAGACATAGAGTAGAGGTTAAGTGTGTGTCTTTCACTTGACAGTCCTGGTTCCATCCAGCACTGAGTATCTCCAGAAGTGAGATCTGAGCACAGAGCCAGGTGTGGCCCCCAAACAAACAACAACAAAGGAAAGCAGATACAAAACAATATATATCATACAATCAAGGTTTTTGTTTAAAAAATGCTTTCAATGGTAAGACAGAATTTGCACAAATTTTTCAAAACAGAATATCTATATACTACATAAGGGTTTTTTTTTTCCTTTTTGGGTCACACCCGGCAATGCACAGGGGTTACTCCTGGTTCTTCACTCAGGAATTACTCCTAGCAGTGCTCGGGGGATCATATGTGATGCTGGGAATTGAACCCGGGTCAGCCACATGCAAGGTAAATGCCCTACCCATTGTGCTATCACTCCAGCCCTACATAAAGTTTTTAAAATTCATTAGTGACGCCAGATCCAGAGCCAGGCTGTTTCACTCAGGGCACCCTAGAGGGGGGCAGGTGAGAACCCTCCCTGCCCCAAGGGACCCAGCCCTGGCAGCCAAAAACCTCCAGAACTCAACTGCCTCCACACTCAAGGCCACCCTCCACACGCTCAGGCTGGACCTAATCCACTGCATGGCCGCAAATGCTTCATGGGACAAACACTTCATGGGACAAACCCCACCAATATTCCAACTGTACCGCATTTGATGGGATTCAAAGCAGTAGGCAAACAATCTTAGAGGGAAATATACTTTTTTACAGATATATACATAAAAGCACACAAGCCTCGACCTTTAACAACATGTTAGTGATCTCTTATAGAAGGTCTTAATGGATCCTATTGAAATAGAATAATCTTCACACCCTTTCCTCTAAGAATAGTTTCTTGTAGCATTTTCAGTGGTTTTTCATAACAAGCAATACAAAATATAATATTTTGGTTCTTCTTTGGGACAGGGATTGGGCTTTGGAATGGAAATATCTGAAATAAGGTAGTGGGAAGGTGTAATGGTGGTGGGAATGGTATTTGAATATTAAATGTAATGAAATATTGTGAACTCCCTTATAAAATAAAAAAATTATAATAAAATAAAATTTCTATTTGTGAGCTCCCAAGAAATAAAAGGCATATTTTATTTCAAGGGCATATTTCTGGTACCAACAAAACAAAACCAAACAAAAAATAAAAATAACAATGGGGTTGAGGAACCAGAACTTAGAACTTGGGGGATGGGGGGAAGTAGGGGATTTGGGGGAGTACCAGGAAAGAAGACTCGAAGCCTAGGAAGGTGGAATAACTAAATGTTCCATATCCTGACTCCTCCCAAAGGATACCCACAAAGGGGCAGCGTTGTTCATGGAATGGACATGCCCAGCTGCTTGAGGGAGGGAACCTACCAGAAAACCTGTCTAGACTATTGAAGTGAGTGCTAACTTAATTTTAAAAAATTTTAAATGTGTTTTTAATTGTATGTCTCGGAGAGCCCGGCAAGCTACCGAGAGTATTCAATATGCCAAACACAGTAACAACAAAGTCTCCAATGGAGACGTTACTGGGCCCGCTCGAGCAAATTGACGATCAACGGGAGGGCCTTTACCTTTACCTTTTTTTAATTGAATCACCATGAGATATAGTTACGAAGCTTTCATGATTGAGTTTCAGTCATACAATGATTGAACACCCAACACTCCACCAGAGTACAATGTCCACCACCAAAGTTCCCAGTATCTCTCTGGCCACCTCCACTCAATCCCCCCTTCCCTGCCTCTATGGGAGACGCTTTCCTTCTTACTTTCTCTCTGCCTTTGGGCTTTATGGTTTACAATACAAATACTGAGAGGCCATCATTCCCAGCATGTGTGAGGTCGTGAATTCCATCCCTTACACTTTATCATCCCTGTACTGCAGGTTTTACCAACTCCCCTGGGGCCCCTGCTCCCAACTGCACCTGGTACAATCAGGCTGAGCATGGCCAGGAGTGAACCAGGGCTCCAGGCTCGACTAGCTGTGATCCCTCTTTTACCAAAAAAAAAATATGAAAGAGCTGGAGAGATAGCTCTGAGGGTAGGGCACTTGCCTTGCATATGACCAAGCCTAGTTCCACCTCCAACACCACATATGGTCCCAAATACAGTAGAGAACAAGTCTTTGTGTGCATGCATGTTGGGTTTGCTCCTAGGAGCATCACCTGATCCAGGCTTTTTTTTTTTTAAATACTGGGCCGGAGTGATAGCATAGTAGGTACGTCCAGCAGGTAGCCCAAATAAAATCAAATCAGGTAACACAGGCCTCCTCTTTTTGCTTTGTTCGCGATTGACCCTGGTTTGATTTCTCCGTCCCTCTCGGAGAGCCGAGCAAACTACCAAGAGTATTCCACCCACATTGAAAAGCCTGGAAAGCTACCTGTGATGTATATGCCAAAAACAGTAACAATGGAGACGTTACTGGTGCCTGCTCAAGCAAATCTAGATGAACAATGGGAGTAGGGCTGTGTTACCTGATTTGATTTTATTTGTGCTACCTGCTGGACATACAAAAGAAAGAAATCCTTCTTTTTTATTTTTTAATTTTATTTTCCTAAAGTTGTTCACAATAATTTATTACATTCAATATTGCCCCACAGGCAGATGCAAGATAATTTATTTTGTATTGATTGTTGTGTGAATAGTATAAGATGTCTGTAAGGGTCTATCTCACAGTGATTCAACAAAAAAGCAAAAAAAATGGTATGAGATATGTGCGGTCACTTTTATGGCCGCACACTCCTGGGATTCTAAAAATTAATATAATTAGGGTCTGGAGCCATCTCTGCAGCAGGCTGAGATTCATTTGTGAGTTTATGGATCATGGCCACTAGTGTGCTTAAATGGCACCCAGTGGCAGTTCTTGGGCATGACAGCCAGGGCCAGGAATGGCGGGGAGAAGGGAAAGAATGGCCTAGTCCTGACCCCCTGAGGCCTGGCATTTTCAGTTACTGGTCCCACATACCTGGGTTTTTCGTGGATTTATTCTCTTCGTTGGGATCCCATGATGGGCCTGTGAAGATGGGCTGAGGGTAGTGGCAATTGGTTTTTGGAAGTTTGGGGCTGCTGGGGTTCATCTGGTGCAGGTGGAGAGGGCGGACGTCTGCTCCTATCTGAGGTGCCCAGGTGAAATCAGCTTGGCACATGGTCTGGAGCCATCTCTGCAGTGAGCTGCTTGGTTCCAAGATTCATTTGTGAGTCTCAAAGATACCTTTCTTAATAAAGGTGACAATTAGCTTCATCCAGAACATTTTATATGCTGTGTATGTAAAAACACAAGTTGTGAAACTTGTTACTGACTGTTTTTTGCATATCAAATACACCATGGGGAGCTTGCCAGGTTCTGCCGTGGAGGCGGGATACTCTTGGTAGGTTGCCGGAAGGAGCCGAGGAATCAAACCCTGGTTGGCCATGTACAAGGCAAACGCCCTACCTGCTGTACTATCGCTCCAGCCAAGAACAGAAAATATCAGTGTAATATGCACAATAAAGATATAATGGGTTTGGTTCCAGACCACTGTAATTAAGCTAATAGATTAACAATGTGCGTGAAATGAATTTTTGCTTTCTAGTGCATTAAAAATTAGGTGTATACTATACTGCAGCCTAAGGTATATAAGCATCATGTCTAAAATGCAAAGAAGCCATAATTGAAAAAAATTATTGCTAAAAGTTCTAACAAATATTAAAGCTATTAGAAAAATGAAAATGGATTTGTGTATAAAGAAAACCTTACAAATTATTCTGCAACCCAAATTACAGTAGCTTGGAAAACAACTTTTAGAAAACAAAATTCAATGTAAAAAAGACAGATTAAAACAACTAGAACAGGGGCTGGAGCAATAGAACGGCGGGTAAGGCATTTACCTTGCATACAGCTAAACCGGGTTCGATTCCCAGCATCCCATATGTTCCCCCGAGCACTGCCAGGAGTAATTCCTGAGTGCATGAGCCAGGAGTAACCTCTGTGCATCGCCGGGTATGACCCAAAAAGCCAATAAATCAATAAATAAATAAATCTAGAACAGTATAGGCATTATATGGCTCTGGGTTGACAGGATTTTTTTTTTTTTTTTACTGCGTCATGAATCTCAGGAATCTCTTCCTTCAGCTGGCTTCATTGCTCAGGATTTTAAGAAATATCTTCTCTTCCCGGCTTCATTTCTCTTTCTGTATCCATCCATCCAATATTCTCTAGTATCAATTAGGGCTTTTTCTTTCGAGTCCTGAACACTCATGTATCTGCATTTTCCCACTCTGAAACATGGTCTTATTTCTGCTGATGCCACTCTTGGAGGAGACCAGGGCTTTGGGAGTTCCACCCATCGTTTTGTTTTGTTTTGTTTTGTTTACAGATTTCTCTGGAGTAACCTGCTTTCTAACTTGTTGCCCACTTCATTGTCAGAGGCACTGCCAGAAGAGCTGGAAGAAACAAATCCCTTTGGCTTCGTCATTGCTCCTCTCCTGGAGCCGAATCGCTTCCAAGCACACTCACTGACAAATGCCAGATCCAGGTTGAAGGCGTGAGGGCAGCCAGTTGTGGCCCCAAGATAAAAGCAATGTAAGTAACCACTGAAAACACTTGATCGAGCAGAAGATACCCATAAAGAGAGTAATGATGTCCTGAAATATGGATCTGAAGAAATTCTCCAGAATGAGCAGGAACAAACAGAAAAATTAGGAGACAAAAAATAAGGTCTAACTGATCAAATTGGATTCCCATGAGCAAAGAAGAGAGGGGTGGGAAATGGAGGCAAGGAAATACTTGAGGAGAAATAGCAGAGAATTCCCAAGAATTGATGCAAGGTCAGACTGTAGAAATATAGAAAGAAGAAACTTTATATGAAGAAACAAGTATTTAGATACATTTCAGTGAAGTTGCAGAAACAGGAGGACAAAAAAAGCCCCAAACTCATGGAGAGTTATGATGGTGGGAGGGAACCTGGGATCACTGATGGAGGGGAGTTGACATTGGTGGTGGGATTGGTGCTGTAACAGTGTGTGCCTAAAACTAAACAATGAATAATTTAATAAATCATAGTGTCTTAATAAAATTTATAGCGTAATCTCAATATTTAGAAAGTCTACAAAGTCTACAAAGAATACAATGAAACTGGTATCATACTTTTTAGCAGCCAGCGTGAAAACCAGAAGACATTGAAGTGATTCAAAGTGTTAAGAGAAAGGGGGGGAATCTATAATCATAGATTTAGACAGCAATCATAGATTGTTACAGCCTGAGATGTGGCTCAACAAAAAGGTACATGTCTGTACACACACGCAATCTAGGTTTGATTCCCTGTAACATACAAAGAAAACGAAAACCAGGGACGGAAAACGGCCCACCACTCCCTTCTCTGCACAGAAGGGTGGGAAATCAGAACTGTTGGTCCTGCCCCAGCTGGTCTCCAGGTCACAAGAGCATCTCCTTGGCAGCTCCACCTGGAACCTAGCTGTTCTACTAGAACCTTTAATAAAAAATTTAAAGACACATTCACAAACACACACACACAGCCTGTCAAATCGTAAACCTATAAAATTATTTCCTTCTAGAACACATACTTAAACACCCCCCCCCTTTTTTTTTGCTTTTTGGGTCACATCTGGCCATGCTCAAGGGTTACTCCTGGCTCTGTACTCAGGAATCACTCCTGGCAGTGCTGGTAGACCATATGGGATGCCGGGGATCGAACCCGGGTTGGCCATGTGCAAGACAAATACCCTACCCGCTGTACTATTGCTTCGACCCTACCCCCCCCTTTTTTTTGGAGGAGTGTACACCTAGCATTGTGGTCAGGGGTCACTCTTACTCTGTGTTTAGGGGCCATACGTGGTACCACTCAGGGGACCACAAGTGTGGCTGGAATTTGAGGCCATGGCTGCATGCCAGGCAAGTACCTTAACCATTGAACTGTCTCTGCAGCCCCGAAAAAAAGAAAAGAAGTGTGTGTATGTGTGTGTGTGTGTGTGTGTGCGTGTGTGCGTGTGTGTGTGTGTGTGTGTGTGTGTGTGTGTGTGTGTGTAGGGGGATTGAATCACATCTGGCTGTGACTGTATTAGGACTTACTCCTGTCTCTGTTCTCAGAGGTCCTTCCTGGTGGTTTAGAGGATCATACATAGTGCTAGGAATCGAACCGGGGTAGGCCAAATACAAAGAAAGTATTACCTATTCAGCCCAATTTGCTGGGGTGGGACGGTGGTTGTGTCACACCTGGCAGTGCTCAGGACTTACTTCTGGCTCTGTGCTCAGGGACCATTCCTAAGTGGTGCTTGGGGGAACAACATCCAAATTTGCAAATTTGGATCTCTGCATGCAAAGCAAGTGCCTTATCCCCTCTCCTATCTCTCTAACTTCCTATAAAAGAAAAAAATGTGGGGCTCACACTTAGCAATTCTCTGAACTTGCTCCTGGCTCTATCCTCAGGGATAACTTCTGGGAGACTTGGGGGGTACCATATTGGGTGCTGGGAGTCAAACACGGGTTAGCAGCATGAAAGGCAAATGCCCTACTCACTGTACTATTCTTCTGGCCCCATAATTTGCCTTGCATGCTGGGTTCAACCCCCTGTATCCCTTATGATCCCCAGAGCACTGTCAATAGTAATTTCTGAATGCAGAGCCAGGAATAGCATTTCCAGGTGTGACACAAAAAGCAAAAAAAAAAAAAAGATAATTTTAAATAAACGAAAACTGGTTTTACCAATAGACTCTTCCCTAAAGAGATTTCTAGTAAATATGCAGCAAGAAGACAAAAAATCTTAACTCAGACAGAATATGTGAAATGCAAGAACATGTGAAATGGATTTTTTTTAGTAAATTCAACCCCCAAATAATTAACTTTATATAAGACCCATAGAAATGAGACCCTCATTTCTATATATATAGACAGACTGGTATGAGGGTTGGAGGTTGGAGGTAGGTGGGGAGGGCAGCAGGAGGGAAACTGGGGACTTTGGTGGAGGGAAATGTACACTGGTGGAGGGATGGGTATCAGAACATTGTATGACTGAAACCTAATCACGAACAACCTTGTAACTGTGTATCTCACAGTGACTCTATTTATTTATTTATTTATTTATTTTTATTAGTGAAACACCTTGAGGTACAGTTGTAGACTTACAAATTTTTGTGCTTGGGTTTTGATTATACAATGATCGAGTTACCCATCCCTCCACCAGTGCCCATTTTCCACCACCACTGATCCAGTACCTCTCCCACCCCCTATCCTCCCCATCCCACCCTGCCTTTGTGGCAGGGCATTCCCCTTTGTTCTCTCTCTCCTTTTGGGTGCTGTCGTTTGCAAAAGAGGCATTGAGAGGTGATCATGTTTGTTCTATGTAGTCTACTTTCATCATGCATCTCCCATCCTGGGAGGATCCTCCTGACACCCTTTATTTGGTGCTCCTTTCTCCATCTGAGCTGCCTTTTCCCCCAGCATGTGCAGCTGGCCTCCAAGCCATGGAGTGAACCTCCTGGTACTTATCTCAGCTATTCTTGGGTGTTAGTATCCTATTTTGTTACTTTATGTTCCCCAGATGAATTCAATCTTTCTATGTCTGTCCCTCTCTTTCTGACTCATTTTGCTTAGCATGATACTTTCCATGTTGTACCACTTGTATGTAAATTTCATGACTTCATCTTTTCTAACAGCTACATAGTACTCCATTGTGTAGATGTACCAAGTTTCTTTAACCAGTCATTGGACACTCAGGGTTTTTTCCAGATTCTAGCTATTGTACAGTGCTGCAATGAACTAACAGGTGCAGATGTTACTTCGACTATACTCTTTTGCCTCTCTGGGATATATTCCCAGGAGTGGTATTGCTGGGTCAAATGGGAGCTCAAATTCTAATTTTTTGAGAATTGTCCATACTGTTTTCCAAAAGGGCTGAACCAGTCAGCATTCCCACCAGCAGTGAAGGAGGGTCTCTTTCTCGCCACATCCATGCCAACACCAGTTGCTTTTGTTCTTTTGGGAAAGATGATTTCTTTCCAGTCACAGTGGACCAATTTAAAAAAATTTTTTTAATGAAATGGGATGGTTTATTGATTTAACAAGGTATTGTAGGGGGCAGAGTAATAATAAAATGGATAGGGCATTTGCCTTGCATGTGGCTCACCTGGGTTTGATCCCTGTTACCCCATA